TACAAATGCGTAGTGGTTTCAGTAAGTTACTGGTACATAAGCTTCTGGTTACGTTTGAAGTACAATTCTTAGACAGATTCTGGGTTCAAATCTTGATGTTAACAAAACAGGAAATTATCTCAGGAAATTAATCGCTGATAATAATTCCAAACAAATTCCCCCTTTCTTGGAACCTAGCCAATAGCCTTTGGCCTAGCCTTCCTCAGGGACAAAGAACAGAGCACAAGCAAGGTCCTGTTCCACTATCTGTATTCCTAGCTAATTTCTCTAGCTCTTTAATACCACAAAAGATTAACTCCTATCTAACACCAACCAACTGTTATCACCAACTGACAAAACTCCCACGGTCAAATTCCAACTGCCAACTCAAGCCTCAGTTCAAAAGGTACACGTTTTTTCTTTTTGAACGCTAGACTCTACCCCCTATTTTCTAACCAATCCTGGTCGTCTAATCTCTGCTTCCTGGATTAGGACACGCCACCTCTAGAAAACTCTTAACTAAGATGGTATCTCCTTGTTTCCCTATCCTAAGATGGCTGCCAGGGCTTCGCCAGGCCCACATTCTAGCTGCTTAAGGTAAGGAGTTATTTACACCAGTAGACTTCCTCGCCTATATCTAGAGCAGGGGTCCTCAAACTAAGGCCCGAGGGCCAAATACGGCCCTCCAAGGTCATTTAACCGGCCCTCGCTCAGGGTCAACCTATGTCTGAAATGACTTGAAACACGACAACAACAATCCTATCTCACCAAAAGCAGGCCCACATTTCCCATTAAAATACTAATAAGTTTATATTTGTTAAAATTGTTCTTGATTTTAATTATTTTATTGTTTCTAAGTGTTTTTTGCACTACAAATAAGATATGTGCAGTGTGCATAGGAATTCATTCTTTTTTTTTTCAAATTATAATCCGGCCCTCCAACAGTTTGAGAGACTGTGACCTGGCCCTCTATTTAAAACGTTTGAGGACCCATGATCTAGAGCATCAAGTCCAGCGTTACCAGAAGTCATCGTGGCTGGTGGCTCTAAATGATGAATTGGCTGGAATTGGCCTGCCTTTGCAATTTCTGGGTGCTCTGGGTCCTGGGGCATGGCAAGAGCTCATGCGGCACACTCAGGATGTTTATGCTCAGCTGGACCTAGAGAGTATAGGTAGGTCTACTACCACAAGGTTTTTAGCTTCCCACAAAAGGAAAATTCATTTAGAACACTATCTAATTGTTCCACTTCCTCTACCCTTAAGAAGAATATATACTAGGGCTAGGTTTGAACAACTTGGTATTATGATGCAAACCGGATGGTACTGTAACATCCCAAGAAGTGAGAGATTCTGTGTATGGGGAGAACAAACTGGAAGATATTGAACATTTCTTAATTGACTGTCTAGCATACACTGAATTGTGAGACAGGTATTTACATCCAATATTATCCAACTGCAGATCCCCCAACAGAAATGATCTTCCGACATCCCTCTTGCAAGGACAGGAAAGATCCATCATAATCAGAGTAAGTCTTTTTATTCTGAAAACTATCAAGAAAAGAGCAGATTTCCTGAAAGAAGAACCAGGAAAATAAGACTCTGAGTGTAAATAGAAGGTCAGCTGCTGTCCTTCTTTTTGCCTTGTTTTTTACTCATGTTCTAATTTGAAATGGTCATATGACTGGTCAAATAAATAAATAAATAAATAAATAAATAATATCAGAGATAAGTACTTCAAAGAGTTTATGCTTTATTATTTTGGTTGTACATCTTAGGTTTAGTTAGGACAAATGAATCTGCTCGAATCTGCTCAGTAAATTCATCAAGAAACTGGATAACATTATTATGTAGAATACCTGCAAACTAAACTTTCCGAGTGCTAGTTTTCATGCAGTCAGAACAGCATACCATTTTATATACAAGAGAAGGTACTGGCATGCTTGGGGGAAGTCCATGAAGTACAGAAGTACTAAAAATGTTTAGAAAAAAAATCTGAAAGAGCAAATAAGTCCCTATCCTCCAACAAGTTAGGACTGGAAATGCTCCATATATGCATCATGTTGACTGATTGTTGTGACAAAAGGAATAGAGTGGAATGCCGTATTCTCAGCAGGAGTGCAACATTTTGTCGCAGATCTCAGATAATGAGTATATCTGCTTGGATATTATTGCATTTCAACACCATATTGACCAATAAGAGTAATTAGAAAAGCAAGGAAATGATTATCATAAAGCTCTATGTATTCTGAGAAGTACTACATTTCTATATTTTACTGCCAAATGAGTTCGTCGGAATATCGATTTACAAAACATCTACTTTTGCCAAAGAGATGTTGACACAGCTTTTAATAGAAGTATACTAAAAAAAATTCCAAAGTAATCAGGACACATCATTAACACACTGTAGTTTCATTATCTATACACATAACAAACGTTAAAATGTGTGTATGTGGAGGAGGTGTCCACTTACACAGACAGCCTCCAGTCTCCACGAACAGGCTCCAAAGGCACTCTCTCCATCGACATTGCAGGTTATAGCGAGCGCTGTGAACATGTAGCCAAACCCCTGCCAATGTCCTCCCCAAACACCAAACACCCAAGGAATACTCTCATTCAGGGATCATTTCAATCTACATATTCTGGTTTTTTCTCCAGAATGGACATCCCAGGGTTCCTTTCTCTCCCCATATTTGCATGGCCTTGCCCACTTTCCTACCCGTTCCTATGGCACACAGCAAACAGGAATAGATTGCCAACTGAACATACTAGAGAGGTTTCGGAAGCATTTACCATGATTTATAGAAGATGTAGTTGTAGGTACTGGGGTATATAGTTCACCTGAAATCTAAGAGCACTCTAAACCCCAACAATGATGGACCTGGAACTAATTTGGTATGACCAGCAAAAAAAAACTGGAGGTCTTTGGGGGAGATTCACCTTGATTTGGGGGGAGGGGGTGTAGTTCACCTACATCCAGAGAGTACTGTGAACCCAAACACCGATGGATCTGGTCGGAACTTGGCACCCATACCTGATATGTCGAAATTTGACTACTGCAAGGGTTTGGAGGGAAGTGACTTTCATTTCTGGGAGTTGTAGTTCACCCACAACCAGAGAAACTGTGACCTCCATCAATGATGATCCTGATCCAAACTTGGCACACAGAACCCCCATGACTAACTCAACCTATTGGAGGGGTTTGAGGGGACTGACCCATCATAGTCAGAGATGTAGTTTACCCTAAATTCAGACAGCACACTAAACCCCACCAATGATGCATCTAGAGCAAACTTGCCCAACCTAACAAACTTTAAGTACTGATGGAGTTTCTCAGGGTTAACCTACCATGAGGTCAGTTGTAGTTAATCTACAACATTAATCATTTTCTACAATTAAAAAAATTGACTTTTTCAAATAACCCGGACAACGGGTACCCAAGCTAGTATAAAATTAAAAAAGAGGTGGTGGCGATAGAGTTCCTAAGAAATACCTAAGAAGAGATCTAAAGATATACAGGAGGTTTCAGGGAAACTGCTTGGTAAACTATCCCTTCCACAAGAGTTATTCAGCATCAGATAGTAACCCCAGGTCACTAACAATAGGTGCTTAACATAATAAAGAGCCTCTCACAGTTCTTAATTACTTCCCATAAGCATCTCTCTATTCCTATTACCTGTGCTTCCACATATTCTCACAGCGCAGCCTGTTTTTATGTGCTTCGATTCATCTTTAGCCACATATGTGGAGCCACTGATCTCTCCTGAGACAATAACATGGTAAAAATAATGACTGACGCAATGCTTGAAATTTCCTCCTTGTTTCACAACATACATTTATTCATCCCGGCTGAATTCCTTCAATGTAGCCTGTTTCAACATGGTATGAACCGACAGTGTCCAAATGTGACATATATTTTTCCCAAGGAAGATAATAATAATAATAATAATAATAATAATAATAATAATAATAATCTTTCTCTAACACCCCACCACCATCTCCCCAATGGGGACTCGGGCGGCTTACATGAGGCCAAGCCCAACAGCATATTACAATAAAGTAAAAACCAAAACACAATAACAACACAGTAAAATACATACAACATATGAGTACAAAGATGATAAAGCAAAATCACACATAGTAAAATAAAATAAAATAAAATAACAATGATTGGGCCGCATGTGCAAGATAAAAACTAAGGTTCCAATACACCTGGAAATCTTTTCTCTGACTGGCATCTTAAAGACATCCAAAGAAGCTACAAACAGTTATCATCTGCCAAGTTCCTCCCAAGAAAGTGGGTAGCCTCAAAGTCCACATCATCATATTGAAAGAACTCCTCTCAAAAAAATGACAGCAAAGGAACAAATCCTGGCTCTCCACAAGGAAGAGGTTTCCTGCCCCAAAACAGCAATGCTCAGCAACTTCATTTTTGTCTGAAGACCATGGTGGTTAGATCCAAACAGCAATAAAACTGAATTTATATAGATTTTGGGGAGTATCCATGTATTTGAACCATAGAATCATAGAGTTGGAAGAGACCTCATAGGCCATCCAGTCCAACTCCCAGCCAAGAAGAAGGAATATAGCATTCAAAGCACCCCTGACAGATGGCCATCCAGCCTCTGTTTAAAAGCTTCCAAAGAAGGAGCTTCCACCAAACTCCGGGGCAGAGAGTTCCACTGCTGAATGGCTCTCACAGTCAGGAAGTTCTTCCTCGTGTTCAGATGGAATCTCCTTTCCTGTAATTTGAAGCCATTGTTCTGCATCCTAGTCTCCAGGGCAGCAGAAAACAAGCTTGCTCCCTCCTCCCTGTGACTTCCTCTCACATATTTATACAACCAAGTAATTCTTAAAACACTCCTAGGCTCAATCAATGTAAGGGAGGTCATAATGGAGAGAAAGCAATTTGGCCAATTTTGCCCAATTTAGTAGTTTTGATAAATTGATAATATTTTCAGATAGATAGCAAAACTTCTACAAAAACACATGCACTTGCTACCATTGCAAATAAAGTCACTTACGTTCTGGTTGTTTTTCGTTTGGTGTTATAGATCGCACAAAATCTTGTGGTGTCATAAACACTTCTGACTCCCCGTGCTCACTTATGACTTTCAAGGTAGCAAAATATCGGAAGATTTTATCGGGAGTAGAGTATGCTCGGATCCTGTTTTCATACTCCATCACCTAAAAAGAAACACAAAAGATGAAATTTCCCCATCCTAAAACTCCAGCCATATGAGGGCCATATAATAATAATCATAGTTATCATAATCCAGCATATATATCTCGTTTGCTGTGTCATACTGTGCTTTTGTGTCAGTGAAACAACAACAACAACAACACTTTAGTTATATTCTGTACTTTTCCCAGAGGGGACTCAGGGAAGATTACAGTATATAAACAGACACAGGCAAACATTTAGTGCCTTGATTTCAACAAAATACAAATGAGATACAAATACACAAACAAAGGCAAAGGCTTCTCCTTTCATTTCTGGCTCTAGAGGCGGTGCTCATCTCCAGCTCTGGGAGAGGTGCTCTTTCTCCATTTCCAAACCGAGCCTGTGTCCCTAGACATACCCTGATGTATAGCTGGCATGACTGCTTGGAGCGTCTTTTGCCTTTTCCTGCAGAAGCGATACTTATTGATCTACTCACATATACATGCTGGACATATCATTCCACATATAGCCCTTGCCAAAATCTAAATAATAAAATAACTTACTGACTAGAAAAAAAGAATTCAGAGAGGAAAAACCATTATTAAATGCCATTTTTAATTGAAATAGTTCAGGGTTCTTTTTTTATTCTTTACCACTGGCTGCAGTCTGTTAACCTCTAACAAGATAATAATCTCAAGATGTCACAGTAACATGCATTAATTAAAACAATCAAAAGAAATTTACTCATGAGCTGTTAAAGCACTCAGTTTAATAATAACTAGTAAAACCCTATGGTGGCGGGATGTGTAAAATTATCTGTACATTCAAAGACCCGGGGGATGTGACACATCTTTGATCAAAGAAGCACATGGGACAAATACATTCTCTTACCCAAAGGACCTATGTTAGTAGGGATGCTATAACATTTAATGGAATACTGATTTTGCATTCACTGTAACAACATTTCCAGCTGATTAACTTTTCCTCATAACAACAAAATCCAATTATCACAGGGATAGAAAGTGAGGTGAAAGGAGCACAGACAGGATATGTATTTATCACTTATAACACCAATACACTTCTTACTCCCACCTAAAAACAAACACCAGTAACATATCCTGCCCCCTACCTAAAAACCATCACCATAAATATGTCAAATTAAAATGTTTAAAATAGACTTCCCACCTCTTATTTGAAAGATGTAAGATGAAAATATTTATTTACCGTATATACTCGAGTATAAGCCTAGTTTTTCAGCCCCTTTTTTAGGCTGAAAAAGTCCCCCTCGGCTTATACTCGAGTCAAGGTTATTTATTTTATTACTCTGTTATTAATATTATTTTTATTACATTTATTATTTTACTCTATTATTATTACATTTACATTATTTTACTCTATTATTTTATTACATTTATTATTTTACTCTATTATTATTACATTTACAGCGACAGGAAGTTGCTGCTAAATGTGAGAGAAATAAGGTTGAACACTCTGAAAACCATCCACTACATGGCTACCAGCCTCCTCCCAGTAGACTTAAATCAAGAAAAAGCTTTAAGAGAACTACCACTCCTCTTGGCGTCCCCACAGCAAAAGCAAAGATATCATTCTGGGCAGCTAAATCAGGAAATCCCAAACTGGATGCCCCCCACAAGTGTCTTCCTCCAGGAACAAACCAAGAATGGGCAACCTGGAAGTCCCTGAATAGACTCAGAAGTGAAGTGGGCAGATCAAAAGACAAAAGACAACCTGGCAAAATGGCACTACCTAAAAGAATCCCATACTTTGTGTGACTGTGGAGCAGAACAGACAACTCTGCATCTGTATGCCTGCCTCATATACAGAGAAGGAATTATTGGAGGCTACAGGCAATGCCGTTGCTGTTGCCCGTTTTTGGTCAAAAGATATTTAGCCGCTTGCACACCTTCTATTTTTATCAGTTGTATACTAATTTATGCAATGCTTTTGATACGAAATAAATAAAGTTTAGGATTGGTCGGTTTCCTTCAACCAATCTAGCTTGTTCAGATGGCCATAATGGTAAAGGCTCATGTTGTTTCCGCCCGAAAAAGCCCACATGGCTGCCAGCTGCAGCTTCTTCTCGGACATGATTCCTTAACCTCATTCTTCAAACCCAGACTCCCTTGAAAGGAAGATAGGAAAGGGTCCCAGGAGGGGTGCTTCCTTAACCCCGTTCTTCAAACCCAAACTCCTTTGAAAGGAAGATAGGAAAGGGTTGTCTCACCTCTTAGTTCAATATTTTCACATGATCACTTTAAAATTTCCATTTCCATCATGGTTTACAGCCTATTTTTTACATTTCTGATTGAGGATAGGATGATAGTACTTGAATGTTTGAGGGAAGGGGATAAATACTGCAGTTCATCAGAACATTTCCTCTGATCAAGGACATATTTCAAAGGAATTCAATTCAAGACACATAGCAGTAGAAAGTTCAGCTTATGTCAGCTTCCTTGCCTTTGCATTCTTAATAAGTTGTAGTTTAACATCAGACAAATCAAATGAAAAAGTAATTAAGTTCTAAAATACTGTGTGTCTTCATTGAACATGGACTTATGCCTGGTTAAATTCTGAAAAACAGGGGAACTCTTATAAAGCAATCCCATAACCAGATGTCATCTCTGAAGCTCTCTCCAGTCTGTGCTATTATAAGCCAAACATTCTGCAATATGGATAATATTGGAGCATGGTAATTATCCTCTTATCACTGATTGTCTTTTTTTTCCTGCCCAATCCTCCTTTACAGAAATCAGAACAGCATATCTGAGGCATTTCCAGTTTTCTGTTCAACCAGAGAAGGGAGGCCACACAGTGTGTGAGACACATGAAGACTGAGAGGTAGCAGATCACCGAGAATCACCCAGTGAGCATCACAGCATGGCAGCAATTTGAATTCAGATCTGTACAGATAAGTACGCACTTATGCAAACATTTCATGTGTTTGTACATTGATGAGGAAACTGAGATAGCAGTTATTATTTATTTCTTTATTTGCTTTATTTCTATACCACATTTTTCAGCCTAATTAGGCGACTCAATGCAGTTTACACAATACGGGTTATCACAACAATATCCTAAGTGAACAGTTCCAGAACTGTTTGCTCTGAAATATTATGGTAAGGGTATGGTAAGGGTCAGTACATCCATAGTTATTCACTCTTGCTTTACTGACCACAAACTGCTGATTTGTACTCTGTCAAAGTTGGTGGTAGCCTTTCAATGGCATGTTACAAATAATTTTATGGAGAATTGGATAAAGGAAAACACCTTTCCTTATTACAGTCCAGAACAGGGGTTCCCAACCTGTAGTCTGTGAACCACCAGCCGTCTGCAAAATCTAAAATATGGTCCGCAGCCTCACTGTTACTGCACCGTTGCAACGAGAGTGAATAGTCTCGCGAAACCCTCTTAAAGTGCAGAGGCAATGGGGATGTTGGGAGACGAGACGAGACGGTAACTACCCACAAAAGGTGCAATAACAAGTGTCCTGACTGCTGCTGCTTCTCCTCCTCCTTCCTCCCCCTGAGCAGAGCTGTTCCATGTGGTACCTAAAAGTGGGGTGCCTTGGTATCTTCGTTTTTAGGCATGTTCCTTAAGTGTAGTAGTCCAGCCTGTGATTATCTCTTTGCCACAGGTTTCAAAAGAGAATGAACATGATCAGGACCCTTCAGGGGTTTCCATGTCTGACTTTAATGATCAGGTTTCTGTTGATTCTCAGGGGTTTGTGACTGCAGATGATGGCCTAGAAAATGCAGTTAGCTGGAGTGAAATGGAGGATTCTGGGATCGCTGGTTCCCAAGGCAAAGATGTCTTGAGACAGCCTGATGAGAAACAGGCTGAGGCCGAACAGTCATGGTTAGATAGAGATAGTGAAAGGAATGTACTAATGAGCAAACTGGAGGAGGCAATCTTCGATAGCAAAGGGCAAATCTATCATGATCATCACCTGGACTTAGGGAGGAGGCTTTCATCAAGATTAACAGAAAGAAGGGGTTTGGGAGAGGTTTCCCAAGGGAAACGGAATGCTTTTGCCATGGCTTTCTGAATAAATATAGGGCCTTTGAATCCATTCTCTTCAGTGAGTCCAACATTTAGGTTTCATACCTGCTTATGCCTTTAGTTTCATACTGAGACTCTTGTAATATCTCGCTCCAGATTCATGTTCATGCTGAGATTCTTGTAAGTGTTGTATCCTGATTTCAAGCTCCTGCATTTGGTTTTGTTCAAGTTTGCTCCTGATTCTTCAAGGGATTTTGTTTTACAACTTTTTGGATTAAAGGGCTATTTCCTGTAGACTTGATTAACTGGACTTTGGAACTCTCCTATTCCCATGATGTGGACTTTGCTGGATAATCTTACATTGCTTATGGATTGTCTTTTGGACATTCTCTTATCTCATTTTTGATTGCCTTTTACCTTTTTGACACTTGCTATATTAATCTTCAATAAACTGCTTTGGTGTGTTTGTGGGTTTAAAGGTGCTCATCACAGTCTTGGTGTGCAACTTTGGGTTACTTGGGATACTGATTCAGAAAACAGCATTAGCTCTAGATTATTAAATATAGTTTTCTGTGGGTCAGGAGATGGCAACCACCGGATGGCATATGTTCTGTATCAGAGACTAGAGCTAATGTAGACCACATCCAATGCAACTTTCTGAATCAGCACCCCAAATAATCAAAATGAATCTAAAGTTGACCAAAAACTGATTCGTAATCCTTTTACTACTAATGTTGGAGAGTGGTCCTTGGTCAAAGTGGTCTCTGGTCAAGTGGTCCCTGCTCATAAAAAGGTCGGGAACCACTGGTCCCAAGGAAAGAGAGACAGTTGCTCTGACCAATATGTACAGCTGGATTTGGAGATCTGATCAATTTTTTTTTCATAAACATATTCTCATTATTATTATAACAGTTATTTATTCCTTGCTTTATCTCTCCTGAAGGGGATTCATATTTAAACTCTTGTCAAAGAGGAACAGTTTAACATTCATCCAAACATAGAA